ATCCACAGGACTCTTCTCCAGTGTCCACACTGTGAATTTATTTACTTAGAAAATATTGAGTGCCTACTATATGCCTCTTGGATTCATCAGTGAATAATAAAGCAAAGAACTCTGCAGTCAGGGAGGGAGTGGGAGAAAGGCAGGGGGAACAAGTAGAGACAAAAACACAGTAGACACAAGAAATAAGAAAATTCTATAGCATGCTGGAAATTGATAGATACTGCAGAAAAAAGAAAAATCAGAGCATCGTAAAGGGATATCAGCAGCATGACGAACTGGGAAACTTTTTTGGGAGTGGTAATCTGCAATTGACTGTTTTTTTTTTTTTAATGTTTTTAAGACAAGTGATAAGAAATGTTATTGCCTGTCTAAAGTTGTGAAGATTCTCCTGGTTTTAAAATTTGTTTGTAGCAGCAAGAAAGGTTTTCCATTCAGATAATCTGCATCTAGATTTTGCTTCCTCCTTTTTTTGTGTGTCCAGCTCTGTGTGGTTCTCTGCTTTTTTTTTTTTTTGTCTCTCTAGGTTGCGTTTTTTTGTTCTGAGGTATGCATGTGCTTCATGGAATCTGTGAATCCAGGCAAGTGGTATGGATATGCTTGCTGTTTTTTTTTTTCTGGTGAAAAAATTTTCATATTTTTCATCAGATTTTCAAAGAGGAAGGAGACTGAACAAATTTGAGAATTCTTGTTCGTTTTTTTCATGTCATCTTTGTCTCATCAATACCTCATTTTCCCTGTTCCCTTCACTTCCCTCTTTCTCCTTCCACGATGTGGGTAGGAAATACATCTTTATGAACACAGAAAAACTTTTATTTCTGATCATAACATAAAGGAGAAAAAAAGAGAAATTTTATAGATTAAAAAAAAGTTGTTTTGCTATGTATTCCTTGGTTTATTTTCTTTAACTATAGGTCTTTTGTTATTTTAAAACAAGCCCCCCCCCAAAAAAACAAAATAAAACCAACAAAAAGAGCAACAAACCCCTTTTGAATTCCTTTTGATTTTGAAAATAAATATAATAAATGAAATACTCTTTGGGAAATTCCTTTCCAAATGGAAAACATTGTTTAAATATTAAAATAATGAATTATTTTTAAAAATTTAAATTTTACTTAAAGTAGAATATGTATGTGTTCCTAAAATCTTACTAGAACTGAGGAACTTTTGAGTTGTGATTTTAAGTAGAGTGGTAAAATAGTAGACTCATAGAGAAGGTGTTATTTGAGCAAAAACTTGAGGGAGGTGAGAAAGTTAGTTAGTAGATAATGGGAGAAGAGAGTTCCAAATATAGGGAACAGCCTGAGCAAGGATGTTAAGTCTGGAGCGACTCTTGTGTACAGGGAGGAACAGTTAAGGGGCCCCTGTGGCCAGGGTAGGGTAAGCCAGGGGAGAGTAAGGAGGGAGGTCAGACTTAAATTCCAAATGTAAATGTTTGCTTCTCTCAACTTTCTTAGGAGCATTACAGTTTTATATATCGCATATTCTCTGTTCTCTGACATCATAGGATTCCACGCTACCAACATTATCAGGCTACTGACATGTAATTCAGTAGCTTTATGAATTCCTGGGTCACTTTATGTAATTCCTGAGTTCATTGTAAGGTTGCTGCCCATTGTGAATCATACATTTAAAAAATATTAATGTATCTTATTTTTTAGAGTTATTTATAGACAGATGGATTGAAAGATATAGATTTATATAGCTAAATATATTTGGAGGGGGTTAAAATGTAATTTGGACTTTTTATAAATTTCCATCCTTCAATCACATTGTATCAGAGATTACACCACGATACCACATTTCCATTTTCCACTTTGGTTTACTGAGCCAACTCATTGCCCAAAACATAGAACACGTGAAACTGTATCACCAAGTTACATCACAAGCACCAGCTGGCCAGTTCCAGCCAGGCCTCCTTTGTCCCACTGAGGTTATTTACAGGCTCCCCTTAGTCCTGTTCTTGCAAGAGCAGGGTCTTTCCTGAGCCCCTCCCCTGCTCAGTGTGTCCTCAAAGAGGTGGCCTATGTGGACCCCTCTCATGCTAACAAACCAGTGTGCCAGCTGTAGCAACTGCCCACCCCTTGGGAAATGCCTACTTGAAGGAACTCCCGGTGACACTGCCAATGGTTCTCCCTGGCGAGAATGCTAATGTCTGTCCCAGAAGTCTGCTCTGGAAATCTGCAAAGAGCCTCAAGCCCCGGGGTGTGTGCAGAACGGGGAAGAACTGCTGCCTCACACCCCAGGGCTGTATTTTGTCACTTGATGCAACTTCTCACAAAGCTTTCACAAGGACAGCTCCATCAGCTTCTGGCCCCATTCCTCTGTTTCTGGGGTCCAACCCAGAAAAGAATTTAGACTGGGATTGGTTCCAACATCCCCTCCCTAGTCCTTTGTCCTTATCCTGCTGTCTAGCACCAAGTCCTTTCCTCCTCTAGCCAAAAGTCCAAAGGCTCCCAGACACAGTCAGGCAAATACAGAGAATTTCTCACATATGTTCTCAGTCACACCCAGAATCCCACTTGAGACAGAAAACTGTCCCTCAGAACTGAGATACTGGACTCAAAAGAGCAAGTCTGCTCCTCTGTTCTCTCAGAGATCATTTCACCATGTGTTCAACTATTCTTTCCTTTTCTGAATGACCCCTTCCAACTTCTAAATCTACCAACTTCTGTTGGCCTGTTGGTGATGGTGTTTTTCCTTCCTCCTTCCCTCCTTCTTTTCTTCCTTCCTCTCTCTTCCTTCATTTCTTCCTTCCTTCCTATATTGCTTTTGTTCTCTGCCCCATTCTTTTGAATTGCAAATATCCTATTTCCAAAGGCAATTTCTTAGACCCTAACATACTTTAAATTTGATCTATGTTGTGATCTTGGTCATAGCTAATTCTCTGTGCCTCAGTTTCTTCATCTTTAAAATGGGGATAAAAATACCTACCCCCTCCCATATATGTATGTAAAGCACCAGGTATAATACAAAGCATATAATAAGTGCTTGATGAATAGTAGCTGCTAATATCTGAACTTTGTTTATAAATACATAAAAATGAAATATATTTATATATAATGACTATATATACATATATATGAAATGATTACCACAATACTTACCACATCCATTACCTCACACCGTTATCTTTTTGTGTGTGCGTGATGAGAATATTCAAGATCTACTCTCTTAGCAACTTTCAAGTATTGCTAACTATAGTCACATGCTATACATTAGATCACAGAACTTATTCAACTTGTAACTGGAAGTTTGTGCCCTTTGACCAGTATCTCCTCATTTTTTCCCCGCCCCAGCCTCTGGCAACCACCAAACTATGTTTCTACATTTCCATTTCTATGAGTTCAAATTTTTAGAATTCATACATAAGTGAGATCATATGGTGTTTGTCTTTCTCTGAATTATTTCACTGAGCATAATGCCCTCAAGTTTCATCCATGTTGTCACAAATGGTAGGATTTCCTTCCTGCCATTTTTATAACTGAATAATATTTCATTATGTGTGTGTATGTGTATAGATATAGATACACAGAAATATATCTCACATTTTCTTTGTCCCATTCATCCATCGATGAACACTTAGATTCTTTCCAGGTCTTGGTTATTATATATAATTCTACAGTGAACATGGAGGGGCAGATATCTCTTCAAGATGGTGACCTAATTTCCTTTGGGTATACAGCCAGAAACAGAATTGCTGTATCATATGATAGTTCTAGTGTTTTTGTGGAACCCCCATACTGTTTTCACAATGGCTGCACCAATTTACGTTCCCACCGCAGGGCATATCCTCTCCATATCCTCTCTAACACTCATCTCTTGTCTTTTTTATAATATCCTCTGCAACACTCATCTCTTGTCTTTTTTATAACAGTGATTCTAACAGGCATGAAGGCATCTCATTGTAGTTTTGATTTGCATTTCCCTGATGATTAGTGATGTTGAGCACATTTTAATGTACCTGTTGGCCATTTGTATATCTTCTTTGGAAAAATGTCTATTTGCTTCCTCTTCCCATTTTTTAACTGTTTTTTCCCCCCAGCAATTGTGCTGTATGAGTTCCTTACATATTTTGGATATTAACCTCTTATTTGGATATATTGTTTGTAAATATTTTCTCCAATTCTGTAGGTTGCCTTTTCATTTTGTTGATGGTTTCCTTGGCTGTGCATCAAGCTTTTTAGTTTGACGTATTCCCACTTGTTTACTTTAAGCTTTTATTGCTTGTGTTTTTGTTGTCATACCCAAAAAATCACTGCTAAAACCAATGTTAAGGAGCTTCTTCCCTGTCTTCTTCTAGGAGCTTTACAGTTTCAGGTCATACACTTAGGTCTTTAATCCAGTTCAAATTAATTTTTGTGAATGGTTATCTGAATTTTAAAAAAAAATCATCTGTACATCCATAGGTCTATTTCAAAGTTATTACCTACTGAACAAATTACCTACTGAACAAATAGCATCTCTCTTGGAAGCATCACTGTTGTAACCACCTTTCTTAGAGCCATAGATTTATTTTATTTTACTCCTGCCTTTTCCAAACGTACGTTTATATTTAACTCTTCCCTCCTTCATCAGGACTCGTTCCAATCTTTGGAAAAAACATAGTCTTTCTAGGAAGTGATTCATTATTTCTATCATTCACTCAACAAATCTTTACTAAGAACCCAGTGGGAAGCAACAGCAAAACAATTTAGGGCTCCCAGTCTGCCAGAGTAGTCTCAGTCTGTGTACCCATATCACAGTTCAGAACGGGAATGAATACAAGGCCAAGAATATGAAGCATATCACCCAGCATCTCAGAAAACTTGACAGGGCCCTCCCAGTGACCGAAGTCGCTGTGCAATTCTTGGCAAAGCTTTGACGCTGAGAACGGATTCAGGTAAGGTAAATGCAAAAGGGATGAGAATGCCCGCACACGGTTAAAGCAAGCAAGTAGGCAAAACTCCCTAAAGCAGCACACAATGAAGCTTCGCAGACTTTCCCTATCTTGGTCTGAGGAGTTAGCAGGTGAATCTGGAGAGAGGCAGTTGAACGTGGGGATGGGGAACGGCGCGGAGGGGACCGACTGGACGCTGCGGCGATGGGGGCCGCGGGTCGGGGTCCCACCCGCCACTGCCCGTGGTCAGGCGTCTCCTCTGCGCCCTGGAGCCACGGCGCCAGGCTGTCCAGCGGGGCCTGGGACTCGCCCAACCTGGCCCACAGGGAGGGGCCGGGCTGGCAGGAGTGGCGGCCCCGCCCCGGGAGAGGCGGGCCTGGCCGCACGTATTTGAGGCGCGGAGCCACCGCCCGGCGAGGACCTCACCGCCTCTGCCGGAGCCACCCCGCGGCAAACGAGCGAGTGAGGGCGTCGGGTGAGTGTTGTGGGGCGCCGGGACCCGCATGGGCACCCGCCTGCTGGCGGCTCCGGCCGCTGCTCGGTGCGCGGTCCCTCTGGAGGGCTGGGCGGGGGCGGGGGCCTGGCTTCCCGGGGGCAGCGGGCCCCGGGCGCCGACGGCGTGAGGCGGAGCGGAGCGGTGGGCCCGGTTCCAGCCCCGGGTCCGTAGGCTTCGAGCCCGCGAGAGAGAGTCTGAGACTCGGGGAAAGTTAGCAGTGCTTCACAGAGACTCACCTGCACTTCCTCGCTGCGGGCGGGTGTGTCTGCGGACGCCGGGCGGAGCACGGGACACCTGTGGCGACTCAGCCCCGGCCTTGCGCCCTCCCGCCCCCGGCTGCCCAGAGCCCGCCGCGGTGCGTGGTGGGCGGGCGCTCCTCACACCCAGCCCCCACTCCACTCGGGCGGGAGGAACCAGGTGTCCCTGCCCCTTCCACAGCGGGCACTGCCCCGGGACTCTGTCCGGCGGCTCCTGCGACCCTTGACTTGGCTGTTGGCCACCTGATCTTGTGTGGGGTGCAAATGAGTTCTGCTACCAGGCCGGCTGCGTCAGGGGCTGCAGCCGCTCTCTGGATGCTGATCCCGCAGAAAATGGTGCTGCCCCAAGCTGAGTGGACATGTGCCCTGCTTGGCAAAGACCGCAGACCCTCAGCTTTTGCAAATCAGTGACTCATCCCTGCCCAGATTTGGGCATTAACGATCTCGGACCTGTGCAGAGGATGGGTGGGGTGTGGCCGAATGTTGGTCCGAGTGTGCAGAGCCCTAGATGGGGTTGGGGGGGGTTCTTTTAAAACATGTTTGAGAATTTATTCTGGATGTCAGTTGCTCAAATAAAAGCACTAAAATGCGTCCACTCCGAGAAGTAGGCGTTCAGAGACACGGGGCTTGAGGCTGTGACTTACGCTTCACGCCAGCCCCTTAAAGTTAGCGACTCCTATTCCAGATACTGTGGAATATTTGTAAAGTGACTCCTGGGAGTTGGGTTGCTGGACAATGAGGACGGTTGGACCTCAGTGACCCAGTGTGCTTCTGGGATTCTGGAAAAGGAATGGAAGACAGGCTCTTTTGGTTCTGAAGAAAATGACAGCAATAAAAATTGACTACTTGGCAAAGAGCATGAGAGAAAATTTTCACCAACTTCCAAAATTCTGATTCATTTGCCTCAAGTTTATAAAGTTTGTCTTTCATACTAGGAAATTGTGTTTCCATGTAAGTTAAAGTTCAATAATAAAAATTTATTTTTGCACAGTAGTCTCCTTTTCAGACATTGACTTTGAATCCCTGGAATAGTGTTTCATTCCTTTGATGGCTGTACCTTATCCTTGATCTATGGGACATTGGAGCTGCTTCCTAAATTAATGGTGTTTAAGGGGTTACTCTTAGAGTCCACACTTAGTTCATATTCTGGGGACCAGATTGATGATAGTTCTTGAATGTTTTGAGCTTAGAGATATTAGGAGGCTGCCTCACCAGGTTACCTAGGTAGCAGAAGACGGGGAGTACTGCCTGACAGGTTGACCCCAAAAGCTAGATTTTTTTAAATGGGATAGGCAAGAGTCACTCTGTTGAGGGGTCCTTAATCAATGATATTTTGCTATGCTGCAAACATGCAGAAGTACTTTATAAAGACTATTCACTTATTGCTAGTGAGGTCAGAAGGCCAGTATTGGTCTCACTGTAATTTAGATGCTGTTTGCCTAGAACCCTCATTAGCCAGACTTCAAATTTTCTTTTTTTTTTTGTACTGGAGATTAAACCCAGGACCTCCATGCAGTCTACCACTGAGCTATATCCTCTGCGCCCGGACTCTAAATCTTAATTGCAACAGAGATCTATGTTCGTTAAGTATAACTTAGAGACTGTTATCTTCAATACCAGCTGGCTTGCAAACATCATGTACCTGAGACTGATCTAAAACATAGCCTCTCTTTCCTGTGATGGTTTGGGACAGAGGCTTCTGCTGAGGACAGCTAGTTAACATTTTGTGTCTGGTGCCTGAACTGGTTCTTCTCATTAAATTCTGAGTGGTAAGCCTGCCAGGGCAGTAATTCCAAATTGCTGCTGACTAAGTATCATGTGTTCTCTCTTGTCTGATGTCCAGATTTTCCGTAAGGGAAAAAAGAAAAATCAGTAACTGAGAGGCACAAAGTAACTTTACCTTCCTTGATGCCGAGGAACTATGATGAGAAAGAAATCCTAGTAAAGGGCCAGTTTCCTTTATTCTAACTCAGAATCACTGAATTTAGCTTTGGTAAGTGGACTTTCCTCAAGCCCTGTTCCGTGTTTCAATAAAGACAGGAAGTAGACCGCCTCTCCTGTGTTCTTTGGAAAGGAGTGTGGGCAGTGCTTGGGGATCTGAGGAAGTATGTTCATGATCTACTTCCCTTACAGCTTGTGTAAATGTTGGGGCCGTTTGTGGGCAGAAATTTCAGAAGTGCTCCTGAGAACCTGGGCAACTAGATTAATTGCTAGGTGGGCCTAGAATAGCACACTGCAGTGGATAGCCACTCTTTATTAAAGGGAAAAGCTGCAATTAGCAGCCAATTAAATTGGTCTGCATTCTGACTCGTGTTTAAATTCCTTATTCCAAAGCAACACTGAACTACTTCCTGTAGGTTTTTCCAAATGTGAAAATTCAGATAGTATTTCCTCTATGTTTTTGTGTGTCTTTGATGTAGTATTTCTCCTCTGGATCTTCAAAATTCTCTGATTCTGGGAATGTCAGGATGGAGTTCACATACCTATAGTATCTGTAGAGTGGGAAGATTTTTTTTTACATTTGATTCTTTCTCTCCTTATAAACTACTCATCTTAAAAAAAAAGAAATTTTTCAGGCAAATAAGGAAGATATTTACCCAAATAGATGTTTTTTGTTGCCTTTTCATTCTTCTTTTTAAGTTCTAACCCTTTTCATCAGAGATTTGATGGTTTGCAGTTGGCATAATCAAAACAATGCAATGCATACCCAGTTTTTGGAAAACTACGCTTTATCAGTTTAATTGTGTTTATAATTAGCGAAGTGACTGTGCAAAATGGCATCCTTGCGTTCAGTATCACTGCACGCTGAATGAGTCATCCAGCTAGTTTTCTGGTAAAAAGATGATCTCTTTTTTAATTTGTTTACAAATTCAGCATGTTATGCACTTCTGAGTGAATAAGCCAGAGAATTAATTTCTAAATGAGCTGATTACACTTTCAAAGGACTAAACTTTAAAATTTCAAAGTGTGAGTTTTGGGGGAGGGTATAGCTCAAGTGGTAGAGTGCATGCTTAGCATGCATGAGGTCTAGGTTCAATCCCCAGTACCTCCATTGAAAAACAAGTTAAATAAATAAACATAATTACCTCCCCCCTGGGAAAATTAAAAAAAAAAGTGTGAGGTTTTATACTGGTGTAAAATAGTCCTGAATTAGGAGTCAGGATGCTTGGACCCTGGTCCTTGGCCTGCCAATGACAGAACGGCTTTGGGTCACTGCATTAGCTCTCTGAGCCTGTTTCCTCACCTCTAAGTGAGGATATTAACTTTCCCCTGTCAGTCTCATAAGATTATTATCAGAATCAAAATAGGTAAGGTGTAAAAGTGCTTTGTAAACTGAAAAGCACCACACAAATGCAGGGTGATGTTATTCTAATGGGCTTGTCTAATGTGTCACAACACAATCCAAACTGTCATCCTTGGTGTTATGTGAAACACAGTGGAAATAAAGTGAAATCTGCTTTGTTTCTCAAATTGTTTTGGTCGCTTTGGAAAATAAACTGAATATGGTTGAACAGAGACTTTGAAAAAAATAAATGTTAAATTTTGGAAATGCTGTCTTTGTGTGAGTTTCTGGTTGTAACTAGCCTTTAAAGACATCTAACTTTATTTGGAGTTATGTTGATAAGACATGTTACAAGGCCAATGGTACAGATTTAGCTAGTTTTACCAGTTGAAACTACTTTTCTATTTTTTTATTGACCTGCATTTGTACATGTATGTGGGGATACACAAGCTAATCAGCCTAGGCCAGTGGTTCTCAGACCAGGCACAATTTTGCCTTCTTCCACTTTCCCCCAAGGATATTTGGCAATGTCTTAAAACATTTTGGGCTGTCATAATGGAGTAGGGGGTTGCTACTGGCATCTTACAGGTTTTTTTTTTTCAGTTAATGGAGGTACTGGGAATTGAACCCAGGACCTCATGCATGCTAAACACATGGTCTACCACTGAGCTATACCCTCCCCACTGGCATCTTGTGTTTTGAAGCCAGGGTTGCTGCTGAAGATCCTGCAGTTCACAGGACAGCCCCTCACTGTAAAGTATCCCACCTGAAATGTCAGTGGTACTGAGGTTGGGAATAAGCCCGTCCACAATGAGGATGTTTAAAAGAAGTCAAAACTCAAAGTTATTGCTGAGTCTTGGGTATGTTGCCCAGGAGTGGAAGAACAATTTGTGTAATCAAAGGAACTGAGCTTTCTGCCCACTGTGAAGTTTAAGATTGTTTCTTTCTTACTGGCATCTAAAATGAGCAGCTTTATTTTCTTGGCTTAAGAAATGTCCTTTCTTTCCCTTTTCTGTAACAACTCATTAGTTTCTTCCGCAGTAGCAGCACAATTTTCTAGGCAGTGGCGGGCTTTTGGGGAAGGAAGCACAGAGGAGCACTCAATGCTGGCTTTAAGAGTTCGACTGCTCTAGGAAATATTGTGACTGTTCACCCTGGGAAAGTCACTGTGACTTCCCAAACAAATGGCCATCATTTTTCTACATTGGAAGATGGACACAGTGGTAACAGTGGGAACTTAAGTGTTCCCAAATATGTTTGAGAATGCCCAGATTTAAAAAAGATGTGCAAAAAATTTTTTGCAAGGTAATATTTAACTGTGATATAAATAACAGCAGAGTAGGATAAAATATCTGTTGTGTAAATGAAGCACACGTTAAGTTCTAGGAGGAGCTCTGCCTGTTTTTGTTTGTTTTACAAAAGAATGAAATATTTTACATTTTTAGGATCTGTCAAGCAGCTACCATTTATTGGATCCCTTGGGGCAATGTTATTTCCTAAAATAATTGAGTAAATATCACAAGTAGGCGACTCAAGGAAAAAGAGCTTCTGACTATTTAAGGTCTGGGTCGTTTTGGCCATAGCACAGGTTATGCTGAACTGAGAAAACTCACCAGGCCTGAGGGGTTGGAGCTGCCCCCCTCCCCTCACTGCCAGAGCATCTGCACCAGGAGCAGGTGTAAGACTTCGTGTTGGGTGAGGAACCTGGCACAGGGGGAGGAGCAGGAGAAGCAGGAGTGATGTCTCAGGGCCACCCTTTGAGACAGCTTTGGGCTAGGCCAACCTTCTTTAGCAGCATCCTACCCAAAAATGTTTTCTCCCCATTGTCTGGCTTTTTCTTTTTTTTAACTTATACTGCCAGAGATTTCATTTGGAGTAACAAGTAACTTAAAAAAAAAAAAAAAGAAGCAGCAAGCATCATCTTGTGATCTTGTGCCTGTCTTTCTTTTTTATTGCCCCACATCCCAAGTCACCTTTCCTTTACGGCTTAGCTCAAACAGCACTGTCCCTTCCCCTTTAGAAGTGATCTTTCCGGTTATGGCTTCCCAGGACAGGCAGTCCGGCTCATAAGTGTCCATCACTTGTCATTTCTCCTAGTGTGGACCCTTTGACCACACATCTTGGCCGATTCCATCTTCAAACCCAGACCTGAGCCCGAAAGATGCCTGGCCCAGAGCAGGCAAATGAAGGAATAAATAATAGGCAGCAGCTTTGTCGGGGGTGGGGCTGGGGCATTGTCTTTCAACTCTGCTTTCCTTCTAAAACCCTAAGAGGGCATGGGGTTGTTAGTGGGAACCCGAGGGGAGGTGGGCGATAGTAACACACTAGCACTTTTTGTAATATGATGAAAGAAGATTACAGGAAGGAAGATGAAGGAGGACCAAAGACAAACCAGGACCGTTGACATTTGTTACCGAGGAAAGGGGCAGAACGTTTTTCTCTCCATTCCCACCTGCGCTGTATGGCCTGTTACTCCCAGGAATCAGGACACAGACTAGCATGATTAGTTTAAAGTTATGAGTTAAATAGGATGTAGGGCATGGTGATCTAGGTGGAGTGCATCCCTGGCCTTTGATGAGACACTCTGTGGTTCCCCACTATTGACTTAGGTGCATTTTATAGAGACTGGCTTATGTTAGAAGAATGCCTGTAGATTGACTAGAGCTGCAGAATGAGCTGTTTGGGATGTTAAATTCATACAGAAACCAGTGAAATCTTTTAAGATAACCTATGTATTTTTTTTCTCCTTTCAGGAAAATGGCAGACAGTTTTTCGGTAAGTGTTTTATATCTGTTTTCCTACCCTAATGTATATACATTCATGTAGGTTGAGGTTTTTTTATTAATAAACTTTATTCTTTTAGAGCAGTTTCAGGTTCACAACAGAACTGAATAGAAAGTACAGAGTTCCCACATAGCCCTCCCTACCCACACATATATACTCCCCTACCCTAGGTTGAGGTTTTTTTAACCACCAGACTTTCCCTTCTAACCCTCCCACCATGTGGCTTCCTCTGCCTCACCTGTCCATTGAGGGCTTGTTAGCTGGAGTCTTGTTTTTCCAGCAACAGACTTGGGAAGAAAGCAAGACACGCAGAGGCCTGGGACTCACTAAGAGTAACCCTTTACCAAGAGGCCTAGGACAGAAGTGGGTGGATTCCACCGGCAGGCGCTGAGAAATAACTGAGCAACAACAGGAAGTGTGGTGCAGTCTGAGTGTTCTGATTTTTTTTTAATTAAAAAAATTTTTAATTGAAGTTTAGTCAGTTATGGAGTGCTGGTTTTTTTTTTTTTTTAAATCCTGTAGTACCCTCTACCCCAACTCCCTTCCCAAATGTCGGAAAAAGAAGCAGCCAAAATAAACTCCTGTTAGTATGCATATGTGTTCCCAAATTCCTTAACAGAATGACTCACACCACACCCAGCCATGAACTCCAGTTTTGTCTTCTCTAAAACCAGTTTGATGTTCATCATCAGGCCCTCTGTTTCTCTCTCCCCTTCCCCAGACCCCATGGGCTCCCTTCATAGCCTCACTCTGTTGCCCCAATACCAGGTCTGGGGTTTGTGTTCCTGTTGTATCAAAGGATCAGACCGTCCCGGGAGATAATGTTCAATCAACGCAGATGTCTTCTATGCACCACCTAACACTCTGCAAAAGAAATACTGTAGCAGAGAAAATGGGGAGGGAGAAGGTAGAGTCTCTTTCTGGAGAGAAAGGACACAGCGCCTTGCAGTCTGTAAAGAGCCTTCCCAAATGCTGCTGCCTCATCTGTTTATCACAACAATTCATGAAATGGATCATTTGCCCCGTTTTACAAACAATAACACTAAGTCCAGTACAGGTAACAAGATGGCTCCGAGAGTTTGGAGCTCTTGATGGATGGTACTCGGTTTCAAACCAAATCTTCTGACTCCACATCCCAGGCGCCTCCCATTGGACACGGCAGCCTCCCTGATACTAGCCTGGATGGCACTGAAAGTTGCACCTGACGTGCAGTAGACACCCAGCGAAGAGAAGGCCAAGGCGAGCAGGGCCAGCTTGCGGGAACGTTTGCAGCCCAAGAGCATCCTGATTTTTGTGATTGTTTTTCTCATGTCAGTTAGAAAGTATGTGCATTTACATGGAGGACTTAAGCAAATTATGAAAGTGCAACCCTTAATGATCTGAGATGACGGGAGGCTAGAATAAAGTGATAAGGCAAGCATAATCTCAAAGTCTAATCTTACTCTTAGGAACTCAAAACTAATAGATGGAAAATTTTTTATTGATATGAATTTCATATCTTCACCATATCCCTCTACTTCTTAGAGCACGTATTCCTTTTTACCTGAAAATTCTGTTTTTCTGAATGTTTTTCATCCTATAATTGTTTCTGTCTTTCTCTCCAGCTTAACGATGCCTTATCTGGGTCTGGAAACCCAAACCCTCAAGGATGGCCTGGTCCATGGGGAAATCAGCCTGGGGCAGGAGGCTACCCAGGAGCTTCCTATCCTGGGGCCTACCCTGGCCAGGCACCTCCAGGCACCTATCCTGGGGCCTACCCTGGCCAGGCACCTCCTGGGCCCTACCCTGGCCCAACAGCACCTGGTTATCCTGGACCAACTGTACCAGGAGCCTACCCAGGGCAACCTGGTGGGTCTGGGGCCTACCCACCTTCTGGACAGCCAAGTGCTCCTGGAGCCTACCCTGCGGCCAGCCCCTTTGGCATCCCTTCTGGACCACTGGTAAGATGCAGCCAGCCAATCATTTCATATACTTGATTGTGATATTGGGATGAAGCTAATGAAGAATGTAGCATCTGTCTGGAGCAGTGATGCCATCACTTTGCAGTGTTCTGGCTGGGAGCTGGCTCTGGGCACTGACCTGCAGAGGGCTTCAGGGAGACCTGAAGCTTTAAACTCTCTGCTTTAGGGCCACTTTGCAAGGGCCAGCTACAGTGTCTTTTGGTCCAATAGAAAAAATAATTGTTCGTGTTGAGTTTAGTATGTGTGTTTTAGTATAAAGAGAAGCTCATGCATCTTTTGAAGGCATCTGTAAAGCAGCTTTAATATACATCAAGTTAAGATCATAGTAATGGGGGAAGTTTGAGTTGTTATCATTAATAAACATTGAGTATATGACATGTGCCAGTTGTGTGCTTCTGTAGAGATGATCTCATTTAACCCCATAACCACCCTGTAAGACACTGTTACTCTCCCCACTTTACAAATGAGGAAATGGGCAATAGAGAGTTATACAAGCTGCCCGTGGTTATAGAAGGAGCCTTTGGGGAACCAAGATAATCTGGTTTTGAAAAACATTCTAAAGATAATTTTGTGATCCAAGGATTGAATTTTCATTTATATTAAAACTCATTTTAAAAAATGAACTCTAAACATAAAACCTAACTCTGTGGGGCTCCAGACATCTCAGACACGGATCCCTCCCTTCCAAGTAGTCTAATTGGAGGAAAAGATACAGATCTGAGGGGAGAGTCCAAAAGCAGCATGGGGTCAGTCCCTTTCAGGACTATGACGGCACAGGTAGCATCTGATCTGTTTTTGGGTCAGCTTAGGGAGAGCACAGAGAGGGCATTTAGAGCATGGGAGGCATTGAGTGGGCTGGGACCACGGACAGGTAGTCAGCTGAGACAGAGTGGGACATGGGGACTGTGGAAGGGAAGAGGTGGATGGGAGAGAGATTGCAGAGGAAGAACCCCAGGATCTGGTGGCTAGGTCTTAGGAGTCAGAGATGACTCTTCAAGGCTGGACGACTAGAGCACCAGTCAACGGTCAGCCCAAAGCGGAAACTCATTGTGGGGCAGGTAGGGGAGACAACCGTAGTTCACACCTGTCAAGATTTGCAGCACCAGGAGCAAAGCCAGACTAGAGGAAGCCCAGGACTAGTACAGATCAGGGCTAGAGAGAAAAGACTTGGGTGATGGTTGAACCCAGAGGGAAAAAATTATGAAGGAAAAATAGAAGAGGCCAAAGACAGAGCAAATGGGACTATTTACAGCACCTTGAACATAGATGGTCAATAAATATTTGTGGAATGAACTGGGGAATATATTAACTGGGAAGTGTCCATTCCACAAACAGTGAGTACCTGCCACATTCAAAGCACTTCACTGGGCCCATGTGAGTGGAACATATGAGACCTCAGAAGCCCAGGAAGAGACACGATGCCTGCCCTCAGGGAGCAGAATAACCATGATGAAGCATGTTACGTGACAAGGACCTTAAGAGTGGCACAAAAATGTTACTGTTCATTGCAAGGTCTGGCTTAAGCCATTTCAGAAAATAGGCTAACTGGATGAGTTGTAGATTGGGATGGCCCTCCTCATGAGACAGACAGTGCTCTAAAAGAGAACGTGGTCCATCTTTGGCACCAATGAACTGATGGTCTTATCCTCAATTATTGGTTGTGGTTGTGTAGAGAGCTTTCTCTCTTCAGTCCCTGGGCAAGGCCTGAGCCTGGAAAGATGGCTGACAGCAGGGTTGTATGTTATTCACATAGTAAATAGTGGTTGAACTTTACCATCTTTTCTTTCTTGCCCTAAGAAAACATGACTCTTTATTGATATGTATTTTTTATTCCCAGAATGTGCCTTATGACCTGCCTTTGCCTGGGGGAGTCATGCCTCGCATGCTGATAACAATTCTGGGCACAGTAAAGCCCAGTGCAAACAGGTAAAGAGCAAAAGTAGCACGTCTAACATATTTGGTGATTGATTTTGGAATAAAGGGTGATTTGTTTTGAATTTTAGCAAATTTTTTAAATTACACATTTAGAATCTTAGCTGTACCATACGTAGTTTGGGATTTTCCCATAAATCAATACACACTCCCACCAAGAAGACAAGGTTTCCCTCACTAAATCTTGTTTTTCTCCCAGAACCAGAATAAAATGGAGTTCTACTTGTGGGGACAAGAAAAAAGAGCAGAAAAACCTATCCTGTGGCCCTTCCTGGCAGGGAAAGCCTTAGAATTAAAGGAAAGCAGAGCCTTTGTAATGTAATATTTGGCCATCCCTCCACCTGTGAGCCATATATTGTCTAAAAAACAAAGCCCATCAAAAATTAGGGTCAAAGAGATGTTGACTGAGACTGTGGCAGATCAAAACCAATTTTGGTTGAAATGATTAAGGTGGTAGTGAACTGAAAATATTATTACTTTGTCCTGCAAAATCTACATGAAGAATTATACGAAGGAGAAGAATCCTTGAGGTGTTAGGGATGACAATTATCTTCCTTTTCACTGCTGAGAAAATACAACCCATTGGGTATTTAGTCAAATACAATTCCTACTGCCATTTGACTATATTGGTCCTTTCCCTGTGAATTTAATCATTGGTGGTTGTGTGTGTCTGTTACTGGGTGAATGAAAATACCCAAAGAATCACTGTTAGTATGTCTAGAGTGCACACCTTGCTTTAAAACAAGAGCACCAGCTGCTTCTGGTATTAGTGCTCGGTGGAGCACACTTTGAGAAACTGATGGGTAGGGTTAGTACTTCAACAACCAGAGGACTTGTGTTTGTATTAACATCCAAGGAGAAGAAACAGGGTTAAAAAGTTAGTTCCACTTGACATCATGGAATATTTAACACATTTATTATTATGACTTTACAACTTAGCAACAGGATACTGAACATTGCATTATTTCATTCTTGCTGTTTTAGGACTAGGCTTTTCATTAACTATGAGGAAGCCATGTATTTGATAGCATTTTTTTATGTTGTAGGCTTACCTTTAACAGGGATTAAAAGTAACCCGGCAGGGCAGGAAAGAAGTAGCCATTATTACTGTCAGGTATAAAGTGCCCTCAAAGTGGCCCCAAACCTCTACAAGGAAACCTTGACCGTTTTCATGAGTAGAGGTGGTAAAGAGGGAATTACAGCTGAATGGAAGGATATGACCAAAGACAAGAAGGCCAAAATACTCAATACTTATTGTCATTTACCTTTAGATACTGTGGTAGTACATTGCATACAGTAGTTCCCCCTTACCTGAGGTTTTGCTTTCTGCAGTTTCAGCTACCTGAGGTCAACTGCAGTCTGAAAATATTAAAGGAAAACTTCCAGAAACAATTCATAAATTTTAAATTGCCACCATTCTGAGTAACGTGATGAAATTCACGCAGTCCAGCCCTGTCCTGCCCAGGACGTGAAATCATCCCTTTGTCCAGCGTATTGTGCCCATTAGTCCCTTAGTAGCCCTCTTGGTTATCAGACGCACTGCTGTGGTATCGCAGTGCTTGTGTCCCAGTAACTCTTACTTTACTTAACAGTGGCCCCAAAGAGCAAGAGTAGTGATGTGGGCAATTCAGACATGCCAAAGAAAAGCTGTAAAGGGCTTCTTTTAAGTGAAAAGGGGAAAAAGTTCTTCACTTAATAAGAAAAGAAAAAATTGTGTGCTGAGGTTGCTGAGATCTACAGTAAGTACAAATATTCTATCCATGAAATTGTGAGGAATAAAAAAGGAACTCGTGCTAGTTTTTGTTTGTTTGTTTGCTGTCATACCTCAAACTGCAAAAGTTACAGCCCCAGTGCATGTTAAGTGCTTGGTTAAGGTGGAAAAGGCATTAAATCTGTACTGTAAGATATTTTGACAGAGAGACCACATTCACATGACTTTTATAACAGAACATTGTTATAATTGTTTTCTTTTGTTATTAATTGTTAATCTCTTACAGTGCCTAATTTATAAATTAAACTTTATCTTAAGTATGTATGTATAGGAAAAAACAGTGAGTGTGTATATATGTAGTTCAGTACTACGCTTGGTTTCAGGCATTCACTGGGGGTCTTGGAACGTATCCCCTGCGTGTAAGAGTGGGCTATTGTACTTGGTCCAGTATACTTTCCAGTTTGAACCCATTCTCTGGTTTATTTGCTTTCTGTTTAGAAAATTTTCCTGTATTTTATAAAATGATTGCTCTTTAGAAAATTATATGTTCTTTATCTGATACAAATGTACAACTTGAATAATTTTACTAACTCTGCTCTTTGGTTTAAAACAGGCTTGCTTTAGATTTCAAGAGAGGGAATGATGTTGCCTTCCACTTTAACCCACGCTTCAATGAGGACAACAGGAGAGTCATTGTTTGCAATACAAAGCTGGATAATGTATGGGGAAAGGAAGAAAGACAGATGGTTTTCCCATTTGAAAGTGGTAAACCATTCAAAGTAAGTTATTGCTACTATTATATATTGATAATGTGTATTTCTCATGGGGAATCACCCTGAAAATACCATGCACTTGAAATGAATTTTCATCAGCTGTCCTGGGACACCTAATAGTACATCTATTCACCATCGCAGAGGACCAGTGTCAGAAATAGTAGCACACTCCCCAACTCCATTCAGGCACCTCACCATCATCCCTGTTACCACCCCTGAGTTGAAGCTTTTCTGAAAATGAGAAAACTAATATCTTTAATAAAACAGGCAGAAAGTCTTTATGGTACAGTTGGGCTGAGACTTAATTCCTTAAAACAACATAGTTAGCATAGCAATCAAAACTAAATTTTTTTAAATTCTAAAGCTAACACATTGACTATAAACCAAAAAAATAAATAAATAAACACATACTTGTTTTAAGAAAAGAAAAATTTGTAGATGTTTCAATTAACTTGAAAAGTCCTCCGTCTTTTACCCTCTCCTCTAGCCTCACAAAGGTTGCAACCTGAATATCTTTCCAGTATTTTCTATGACGAGCAGCACACTTACTATTTTTAAGCACTGCTTCAGTAAGTATTTATTAGGTCCACAGGGTCAGGTTAGGGTTGACTACAGAGTGTGCAATAAAAAAGCTAGACTGTAAGCTCCTCAGGGGCAGGGCTAACAAGGACCATGCTCTACATTTGCTGGCCATCTTTCCTTATCAGAACATTGGCACCTAATACTACTTCATTGTTTAGATATGTGATAATTCAACCAGTACCCTCTTGATGAAAATTTGGAGTATGGAAATATTCCAAACAAATAAAAGGTTTGGAAGGTTTTATTTATTTTACTAAAATACTGTGATAATTGTCCTTATCTTTGCTTCCTAGGAGAATAATTGTATTCAAAGAATATACATGCTTAAAATTTAGATAAAGGTATTGCCAAAGTGCTGCTTCCAAAAGGATGCAGGGAATTAACACATCCACTAAATATTGGGAGAGTATGTTGCCCCTGCTCTTGCCAAAACTGGTTATTATCAGTCTTCACATTTGCCACTCTAAGTAGAGAATTCCTACTTTAGCATTTATTTTTATTTTTACCTTCAGGTGTTTGAGGCCATACAAAAACTTAAGTTTTAGGTAGACAAACTATTCATCCTTTCCTTTGTGGCTTCAATTATATATTCTTCTAACAATTTTATAATTTTGTTTTGTTTAAATCTTTGAATAATTTGGACTTTATTTTTGCTGTAAAGTTATTTTTTCTGACTTTAATCAGTTCACAAATGATCATAAAAGTGTAATGATGACATCCTGAGATCAAGCCAGAATGGTCTGGAACTGAATAGGCATTTCTAACAGTTTTGTGTACATGGCATTTCAGATACAAGTCCTGGTTGAACCTGACCACTTCAAGGTTGCAGTCAATGATGCTCATTTGTTGCAGTACAATCATCGGATGAAAAATCTCAGGGAAATCACTAAACTGGGAATTTCTGGTGACATCAATCTCACCAGCGCTTCACACACTATGATATAATCTTAAAGGAGCAGATACTTTTTTAAAAAATGAAATTTAATGTAAACCTTACACATTTAAAAGTTTCACGTTCATTATGAGTGAAAAATCTTACCTTTATTCATCAGATGTTCTTCTTGTAAATCATCCATTTAATAAATATTCTAAGAGTTACTTGTCTTTATATGTCACTTAATTGGGGCAGTTTATTCTTGATAATGCACAACAGACTCAATGGATAAAGAAGTATGTAGCAATATTAATACTACCTTAGAGTCTCCCAAAGTTTTCAGTACTTGCTATAATATTTTTTTAAAAGGAAATAGGAGTAAATACCCCCCAAATTAACCTTTCTTCTCAAATTTCATAAAAACCAGGAGATGCTACAAGGAAATCATTTTCCCATTTTCTTACTTAAGGAAACATCACATACTCAGGAAATGAGACAAGCAGAAAGAAAATGTTTACCTATAGATGACCCGTAGACAATTACTGTTAGCATTCTGGTATATTTAGACTCCTTTTAACTATTTTCTCTCTAAATAATATTTCACTGCTTTCAGATCACTAATAGATACCAATATG